GAAGACACAGAGGAAGCCAATCATACTCAAGTCGACCTATCTCAAGGGCATTTATCAGATGGGAAGATATTCATTTATTTATATCAAATGGCAGGCGTTTTGATAGTTATCATTAGCCCATCAGCTGACTTCGGGGCTTCATAGAGAGGAGAAGGAACATCAAAGTGACAAAAAGTCGAGTGGAGAAACAGAAGAGTGATTCACAGATGTAAGAGACAGACAGACAGACACAAAGGCGTAAAAAAGGTAAGATGAGTACTGTGAAAGGGGTCGAATATGACAAATAGCCGGGCCATAGTAGTTTGAAGGCAGAAGTCAAATGCCTGTTCATAGACTTTTGCCGTATGAGTATACGTTGCCCAGGGTGCACCACGTGGAGGTAAGTCTATCGCAGACCCCAGGCAGATATTCATAATCCGAATAGCATGAAAATTGAGATTCATAAGACCGAAAAAAAACAATTGCCACAAGCCTTTCGTAACATGCAAACTAATAAACTGTAGGATAAAGCACCACTTTCGATGGACTAGGAAAGAAGTCAAGTGCTTTGCTTATTCATCATAGAAGGAAGACTTACAGTTTCAAGCTGAATGGTGCTGATACAGGGAGTGTCATTTCGGATATTGCGACAGGCAACGTAGCACATCATCTCTGGAGTGATATCCTCCCCGCGTGACAAAGAGCACTCTGTCCAACCAGGAATTCGTTCGCAGACCGAGCCAAGACACTCACCGCCCTTGCAGACACGGGTGTGATTCTGAAAAGACAGCAAAGTAAATAGGCTAAGGCGCAATTTAATGGCTTAAAGATTAGCTTACAATCATCGAATGGCCCAAACCTCTCACTATATGAAATAGGAAATCGGCTTAAAGCGGCCTTCACCAGAGTACACAAACAGAAAGATCTAAGTATCCCAGAGGATTAATAAAAAATGAATATAATAAAAAGCTGTATCAAAGAGCGAGACTTTAATAACTTCTCATAGGCCGAATTTAAAACCGGGTGGTCAAATGCATGTTATCCATAGCCAGAATCACGGAATTTTCAATAACTCCATCAGTAGATTTCGATTGTAAGTTGGGCCGTGTGGTTCAAACGTGAACACTCAATAGTAGAAAGCAGAGTGGCAAAATTCAAATAAATAAAGGCCAAACGGAAGTTGGCATTCCATTAGTTGCTCCATTTTTTAAAGGATAGAACAGGAAGTCACGTCAACATTCACTCCACTGACCGAAAGTGTCCAATAAAGTGGCTGAAACATGCTAATAAAACCAAGAGAGAGGACAAGGGCGGATTGGTGGGGAGGACAGAATGAAAATACGGAGTCATTTGAATCATGGACTATCGCCTTTTACCTCAACAAAGAGCACCAAAATTAACCAGTTTGAATTCTCTGGAGTGGTAGATAGGGCTGTTAAAAAAGTAGTAGGCCACTCTTCTCCTCTTAACCGAGACCTCTGCGCTTATAATGTTGGGAGGTGGCATAAATCAGCAAAGCCACACATCCGTCAAGTAACAAAGCCAAGAAACAAAAAATATGAAGTAGAGATTATTTAGTCTTAACTCCTCAATGTACAAATATTGATAGATTTGGCCGAAGTGCATGATTTGAGTGCTTGAACAGAAACTAGGGAATTACAAACTAATTTACTGGACAAATAGTTCAGAGGGAGGAGTGGGGGGTGGGGGTGGAGAGTAAACAAATGCAGGTGTAATTTTAAATTTCAGCTTTCCACTAATATCAATCAAATTGTCTCCCAATTGCCCGAAAGTTCTCCCATCCGAATATGAACGTATTTCGATGGGCCGTTATTTAGAGTTAAAAATTAAAATACAGTCTTACAGCTTTCCCTAATTGGGACTGAAGCTCAACTCTCTCGCTTGTGGGCGATTATTTTGTTCCTAAGAATGTTTTCATGAAATGAAATTTTCCGTTTAACCGCCCTGGGCGGATTTTCGGAAAACATCCCCGTAGTATATAAATGTGCCCGAATTGACCTTGTAATACGAACAAATCAAATATAACTGGTACTAAATCAATTTTCGATGAAATTCGGAGTTATTATTAGAGATCCATTTTAAGAAAAGTGAATACATGTTCCACCGTGAATATGACAAATACAATTACAAACGAATGACATAGAAATAGTACATCCGACTTTATTTCAAAATAAAAGATTGATTGATTGATTGATACATAGAAAGAGTTTTGAAAAAACGGTTCGATACAAATAAAAGTCATTCACATCAATGATGCCCTATTTCTGGAACCGGAAATGATAGAGGAGACTTAAGTTTTACAAAAAAAATTAAGGTACTTGAAGCGGCAATATATTGGAAATAAGTTTCAAAAGATGGAAAAATGTTGCTACACCAATCGCATGCTAAAACGTCAACTGTGCGCTCAACTTATCTACCGTTCGTCCATCATATTGCAATAAAAATAAAGCCAATGCGAAATAAACAAAAATATTCAATTTGAATCGATACAATTAAACTCATTCAAGGGAATAGAAAAGATGAATACCTTGTTGCCAAAGCGATAAACCCAATTATCAATAAAATAAAGCCAAATTTTGAGATAGTAATTAACATTGTTATCAATTGATTTTCGCTTAATTCAATCATACGAAAAGTTCCGTTATTAAATTCATACGTGCTATTTTACTCGATAAATTCTTGAGGACAGTTAAAAATACTGCAGATAGACATACCATGCAAGGAGTTCCATCTGGAATGTTTTCAGGAGACGGACATTGAGCACTTTCACCAGAACAATAAGAGGCTTTATGACACTCTCCAGCACTCCGACAGAGATGTTTCGAATCGCGGTACTGACACGATGAGGTACAGCATTCGCCAGCTGTTGGCGAGCACCGAACCTATGAGGAGACACATATTACGTACTGCTACTTTTGAACTACTTAAATCCATTTAAGCGACTGATTCATACCTTAACAGAAGCGTTTCCAGTGTTGGCAAACTTCTTCAACTTGCAGGGTTCCTTAGAATCTTTGGGATAACAGCAGACATCGTCACAGTCCTCTCGAGTGAAACCGCAATCACACTGTTCGCCTTCCTCAGTCAACCGGTTTCCGCAGAATGAACCATTTGATGACAAGAAGCAGTTCGACTCACCCTGAGATAAAGAGTGAAATATAGCGTTAATTCATTTAATGCAGGGGATGTAGGGTTATGTAAAGATGGTAATAATATCCTCAAAGGAAGGCCATATTAGGTTAAATTCGATTCATTATTTATTTATTTATTTTATCTGGAGTTGTAACCCAGCTCCCTACTTCAC